AGGCCACCGCCCCTGGCTTCTGCTCCATGTGAGCGTCCTGCCCAGGCCAGCGTCCTGCGTGCGAGGTCCACCGGGCTCTGCAGGGAGAAGGCGGGCAGGCAGCTGCCAGTGGGGTCGTGGAGCTAAAGAGAGCAGGAGAGAAGGGACTCTTTGTCAGGGATTTTAATCAGGAGCTTCTTCAAACTGACCTATTATTAACTTTGCAAGATTCCAGGAGCTTCTAATGGGGCCACGCCCTAGACCAGTGGTTCTCAACCTCCCTAATGCCGCGGCCCTTTCATACAGTTCCTCATGTTGTGGTGACCCCCAATTTCACTGTTACAAATTGAACATCATGAAAGCATAGTGATTCATCACAAAAACAATATGTAATTATATATGTGTTTTCCGATGGGCTTAGGCGACCCCTGTGAAAGGGTCGTTCGACCCTCCCAAAGGGGTCGCGACCACAGGTTGAGAACTGCTGCCCTAGACACTCCAGCGTTTCCCAGGTGAGACTGACAGGCAAGCGCCTTCCATATGTCATCCTGACTTCACTGGTTTAAGTTGCCCTTTCCACCCCCAACCTCGGGATGGGGGAAGGAGGGGTGTGAGTCCGCTTGGAGGAACAATACTGTGGAAGTTGTAGCTTCCTGGTGAAACTCCCCAGGTGACCACGCTTACAATCTCTGAATTCCCTTTGCTTTCTTTGGCCCTGGTTAGTTTGGCTCAGTGGATAGAGCCTTAGCCTGTGGACTGAAGGGTCCCAGGTTCAATTCCGGTCAAGGGCACATGCCGGGGTTGCAGGCTCCATCCCCAGTAGGGGGCGTGGAGGAGGCAGCCGATCAATGATTCTCTCATCATTGATGCTTTTTTCTCTCCCTTCCTCTCTTGAAACCAATAAAAATAAATCAATTAATTAAATTAAAAAACATTAAAAAATAAAGTTAACTAGCTAATTACCACGATAACAATGGAAGCCCCTGAATCATCACACACTTCCACATGCTCCTACACTCCCATGGGTGTCTTCTGCCCTCGGCAAGCAGCCCGCAAGCTAGGTGTGCTCATGCAAACCTGCAGCATCCCCTGACACGCTCCTACCTGCTGTCCCCAGAGCCATGCCTCCACCCGCCCCCACCAAAGCCAGCCCCAGAGCCCCCACATGCGGTCACACACCTCACACCTCCCTCACCCACCACAGGCACCCACACAGCCACCACAACGTGCACACAGGCGCACCCTCACCACCGGTGCCGGCCGGCCCCCCTCACCTGCACAGGCTTCCAGCAGCAAGAGCAGGAAGATCCAGGCGCACATGGCAGCAGGCCGTGGGCGTCCCATGCCGAGGCCTGGGGAAGGGAGAGCCTGGGCTGAGAGAGGAGGAGCGGGGAGCCTGAAATCCTAGTAGGTTCCTGGGATTGGGGGTCCAGGGGAGCGGAGCATCCAGAGCTGTTCTTCTGGGTCCTGTGGGAGGAAAAGGCTGGGACCCAGAACCTGGGTCTTAGAAGGGGGTGGGCCCCCCGATTCCTGAATCTGAGGAGCTGGGAGGGGGGCTGCGGGTCTGGGTTTTTAGGTTCCCAGGGAGAAGGGAGTTGGTATCCCGGACTCCTCCTGAATCTTGGGGGAGAGGAGGCTGGGGCTCAGATTCCCGGGGCTGGAAGGAGGAGGGGATCTGGGGTTAAAGTCCTGGGCCTGAAGGAGGAGGGGCCCGGGTCCAGGTGCCCAGGCCCTGAGAGGCCAGGGGGCGGGGCCACCTACTGATTCTGACCCAGAGCAAGAGGCCCCAGGAGCTCACTCTGCCTGGTCCAGGGACCTGGAGCCTTTTAACTGGGACTCCCCGCCTCCTGCCCCGCCTCCTCCCGCCCTGAGCTGACAGGGCACCCTGGGCTGGAGTGAGGGGGGGCTGAGGGGCTGAAGGGAAATTCTCCAGGGAGGTGGGGCTGGATTCTCAGGGTGCAGAGGCCAGGGAGAGGAGCTCAGTGCTGTGACTGCTGGGTCTGAAACAGAAAGGACTGGGGGTCAGACGTCTGGGTCTGGGAGAGGCCGGAGCTGGGGGCCTAGACTCCTGGGTCTGAATGAGGAGGGGGAGGATGTCTGGACTCCTGCATAGAAGGATGAGAGGGCTGGGGGCCCGGACTTTGGGACCGAGGGAGGAGGGGGGCTGCTGCTGCTGCCTCCAATAACCCCGAATAGAAGAAAAACAAGTCCTCTTTGTCAGGAACCTGAGGGTGGATCAGCCCTGCCCGCTGTCCCCTGAGCTGTCTGGCGTGGGCAGGCACGTGTAGGAGGCACCGTGACCTGGTTTCCCCTTCCCTGGCGGCGACCGAACCAGCCTGAGCAGAACCCAGGAGGCTTGCTGCAATAGGGCTGATGGGGACACACTTCAGGCAGGACCGAGGATGGGCTCAAGGGAAATTAAATTATTACTAGAGGTCCGGTGCACAGATTCGTGCACCAGTGGGGTCCCTCGACCTGGCCTGCGGAAATCCGCTGAAACCAGCTCTCCAACACCCCCGAGGGGTCCCGGATTGCAAGAGAGCCCAGGCCATGCCGAGGGACCTCACCAGTACACGATGGGGGCCCGGGGAGGGACTATGGGAGGGCTCCCAAGGCGTGTCTGGCTTGTCTTGCCCATCCCCATTGGCTGGACCCCAGCAGCAAGCTAACCTACTGATCGGAGCGTCTGCCCCCTGGTGGTCAGTGCATGTCATAGCGACTGGTTGAATGGTGGAACGGTCAGACACTTAGCATATTAGGCTTTTATTATATAGGATTCTTATTGACAGTAGGACAGATGTTCCCTATTCTCTCCCCTCCCCCCCCATCGGCCTCCTCCAGTGGCCGTACCCATTGGGCCCTCGAACACCCTTTCATTGCCCTTCCTCCATCCCACGACCCAAGCAGAAAGCAGAAAGGGCTCCGTGGTGCCTTTATGGCAAAACCACCCATTGGATCTGAAGAAACCCAGACCCTCCCCTCAACTTCTCCCAGATGGTCCAGGGTAGGATTCAAACCCAGGACCCCTCCACAGCAGGTTGGATCTGAAGAAACCCAGACCCTCCCCTCAACAGACATCCCCCAGATGGTCCAGGGCAGGATTCAAACCCAGGACCCCCCCACAGCAGGGCCGCGAGGGGCGGGACCAGACCCTTCCTGCCTGCCAATGGGGAAAGCTATAGCACCCCTGACGTCATGGGGGCAGGGACTCTGACAAAGGAGGCGGACACACACACACACACACACACACACACGCGCGCTGGAGTCCAGCAGAGACGTCTCATTGGGCAAAGTTCCGAGGGCGGGGCTATTTGGTGGATGGCTGGCCTGGGGTAGAGCCACCAGATGATGCTGTTCCACAGGGTGGGGCCAGTTCTTTCTGATGTCT